CTGTTTCGTCTATCCGCAAAATAGTAGAGCGCAAATTTGAGATGTGAGATGAAGGCTGGCTGAGCACTGTAACCACCAGGAAATTGGTTTGAATCAATGGGCGACGTTGTGCTCATGTCAGACGGCGATTTGCCTCCCCCAGAGGCCATGTGAGCCAGAGACTCTGACACTTTTATCACAGACAAGCCCGTGCAGGGTGTGACGTTGGGAACACGTGGTGTGCAGAAATACCCACAACCTTGACTGCAGATACGCTGACAGTCAAATGGTTTGTTAATACGATCAGCTGGGCACTGGGTCAGTGGTCTTCTGAGCTACCAAAGACAGCACCAACTCTCTGTGGCGACTACCACTGGCAAGGGCCAAGCACCGGGCCATCGCAAAGACAAGGAAAGATATATATTGAACAAGCCAGCACTATCCGTTTTGGATTACTGCATAACCCATCAGCCAAATGACCATCACAATTCGGGGCCTGCATATGGTCAAATGCAAGTCCGCAGCAACTCAACCCGTTGCACATGTTTCACTCTCCCTCAGTATCATCCATGTCAGTTCCTGCTCTACACTTGACCACAGGCGCCACAGAAGGAACCAGTGCCTACTGAATGCGCAGCATTTTCCCTGAACACACTTGCACATCCCAGCTCAGAGTGCCCATGAATGCAACCACTGCACTCAGTTGGCATGCATAGCACACAGCAAGAAGATCATTCCTAGCAGGTGCAGTCTGGCTGTCAGCACTGCATAAGGGCCCATGCCTGGCGCCTGTCTGGGTGCAGGCATTCCTACTCTTGGGCTTTCATTTCCAGAAAGTGCGTTGCATGCACTGGATGCCAGAGTCTGTGGAGTTCACTTGATGGTGTTTACTCCTCACACGTCTTCCACACTGAAAAAGCTCCATGCAAAGTGGAATCAAGACACCAGGACAGGCTGCTTGGCATTAGCCTTGACATCCGTTTTGCACTGCTTAAACAGTTCATCCAACACTTCCGAAAGCGTGGGGTGCGTGTGCACATTGAACTTCAGTTGATCTACCGTGTTGCCCATCGCCAGTGCATTTGATGCCTCATGGATGAGGTCGGCAGCATGTAGGCCAATGATGTGCACACCCAATATCTCCAGAGTGTCCATCCTGTATATGATCTTCGCCATCCCATCTGCCTCCTTCTCGGCCAGGGCCTTGGAGTTGGCCTTAAACGATGTCTTGGCCAGACCCACCTTAAACCCCTCAGCCTTGGCCTTTTCTTCGGCAGCCTCCTGTGTCATCCCCACAAAGCTGATCTCTGGGTGTGTGAAGCATGCGGCGGGCACCGATAGGTGGTTCAGCTGGTGCGGCCGGCCGCAGATGTTCTCCACTGCAGATATACCCTGTGCGCTGGCGGCGTGCGCCAGCATGAACTTCCCATTGGCGTCCCCGATGCAGTACACGTGCGGCACCACGCTGCCCTCCCTGTCCAACACCTCCATTTTGGGGCTCACAGGGATGAAGCCCCGCCGGTCCGTCTCCACGTTCACCGCGCCCAGGTTGAGCCCCTGGGTGTAAGGGGCCCGGCCCGTGGCCACCAGGCAGGCGTCCACCTCTAGGGTGTCCACCTTCTCCTTGGTGTGGAAATCCGTCAGCTCGATCTCCACGGGCTTCACGCCCGGCACCCCGGGCGTAACCTTGGTGGCCAGCACGCCCGTGTGGCTGTCGATCGACCGGGGGTCGATCAGCAGCCGCTTGGCCACCTTGGCGATCTCCCCGTCAAACCCGGGCATTATTTTATCCATGGCCTCAACGAAGGTGACCTCAGACCCCAGCGCCGTGTACACGTCCGCGAACTCCAGCCCTATGTAGCCGCTCCCGATGATGGCCACCCAGTCCGGCAGCCACTCCAGCTTGAGCGCATGATCTGACGTGAAAACCGTCTTGCCGTCGATCGGTATGCCCGGCGGCACGAACGGCACTGACCCCGTGGCTATGATGAAATCCCGCGCGGTAATCTCCCCGCCCACGTCCACCCGCCCCGGTAGCGCATACCTCATCCTGTTGCCGCCCATGAACCGCGCGCTGCCTCGCAGGATGTCCACGCCCAGGCCCTCCAGCGACCGCTGCAGGTTGCCCTGGATCGTGCCCGCCAGATTCGACGCGTGGTCGGCGATCGCCTGCCTGTCGTAGGCCACCCCCTCCACCGAAATCCCCAGACTCTTGAGGTGCATCTCGTTCTTGAGCTCCCGCACCCGCCCCGCCGCAGCCAGGAGGGCCTTGGACGGCACGCAGCCACGGTTCACGCACGTGCCGCCGATGTCATGGCCCTCGACCACGGCCGTCTTCAATCCCTGCTCCACAGCATGCAGCGCCGCCCCGTGGCCCCCAACCCCGCAGCCGATCACCACCACGTCGTAGTCGTGCTTGCCGAGCGCGATCGCCCCCACGCAGGCCCTGCGGGCTTCGCGGCGGATGGATCGGCGACCCGGCGGGAGGAGGGCGGGCGGCGGGGGGCGGGCGCCCAGGGCCCGAGGCGCGAATCGCCCCCCGGGGAGGGGGCTGGCGATCGGCATGGCCGGGGGTTGGGGAATGGCGCGGCTGGGGGGCATGGGGGGGGTGCCTGGGTTTCATCTCTTAGGCGCCTTCGGTCGTCGTGTGTTGTGACGTCCGGGTGCCACGTGTGAGCGTGTGAGGTGTGCCAACCGGACAGAATACGTCATTGCCTCCGTCTTTTCCGTGTGGATCCCTTCTCCTTGCGCTGACGGAGAGTATATTACTCCCCGTTCTTGTTTCCTGGGATTCGGTTCTTGTTCCGCTGACAAGGCCAGTCCCGGTGCGTGGATCCGTAGTTGGGGCTTAGGGTGTCCGAAAACAAGAACCGAATCTCAGCAAACAAGAACGGGGGGTAATTTTATGCCGAGCGACTAATCTCATCCCCACGGAAGCAAGCGCGGAGAAGCACTCCTCGGTGTTTGTACGCAGGCGGCAGAGGAGGTGGGGCCTGGTTGGAGCACCGGAAACTGCGGAGTCGTGATGATCGGCGGGGGAGGTGAAGTACTGCGGGAACGCTGGTCGAGGAAGACCGCAATATCATTATTCGTGTTGTGGAAAACCCCACCTTACTTTCTGTGCGGAAGGGGGTGCCCATTGTGTGGCACGTTCCCCTTTTGCTTGTAACTACGAATCACCTGAACCAGGAAGATCACATTTTTTTAACCAATTGATGCTCCTGCCGTCTTCAGTTCGCCGGCAACTAGCTGGAGGGCTTGTTGGGCACCCATTAACTGTGGGCACCTGAAATTGATGCTGCCGTCGTTGTTCTCTACCCTATTATGCGTTCCCAGCCTCCAGCAGCATCCCCAGTCCATTATGCCTGATCACAGGCTGCGAGCCACAGCGGCGAAAGCCCGCATCCCATCGCAATTGCATACGGGTGACCTCCCCACACACTCGTGGAGCGCACACTCATGGGTGTCAACTCGCCTCCCTTCCAGCCGACCCTCCACTTCGATGCACATGGACGGTCTCTTGAGCCCACCTGGTCATGTACTCCCCCATAACAAAACACTTACAACTTCACCACAATCCAATGTACTGTAGCCGAAGTCCCCATCTTCAAGTTTGCACTTCGCTTCGCTAGCACTTAACGCCACCCAGCGAGTGTCTCACCCCATAAGTCAGCCCCTAATCCCGTACACCACTCCCTTCACTGCCTCTCCACACCACAACTAAACCGAAACCCACTCTCTAGGGCGGGGGGAACCGGGTTCGAAACAAGATATGGAGGGGGACCGAGGGGGTAGCCTAAATAGCCGCCCCCGCTCAGCCCCGCCAAAGCCCGCCAACACCAAGGGCGCCAAGGTTGGCGACACCTTGTAGTTTCGTACTTTGACTGAACCACAATATTAGGGTGACCAGAAATCCCAAGGGACAGGGGCTGACTAAGCCCCAGGTTCAAACTGCGCCATTTGAATCACAGGCGCAGCCCACCCGTCGTTTCCCTTGGCAGAAACCTATTAATATGATAGTTAATTTCATAATAGTATCTTGGATATGGAGCATCGATATCCAGCACCGTACAGAGTGTCTGGCGCCTCAAATGCCCATTCCCGCTTCCCGAGTCAGAAGCTCGTTAACTAATCGTTTAACGACTGATGATTACACGGCAAAAGGCGTCCAATTATGCCCCAGCTCAGAAGACGTTTAGCAAACAGAGTTGTTTGCAGACAACGTCCGCCCTCAGCAGTTGGTTTGCCCCAAACCTCAAACCCCCCAACTGCTGAAGAATACTGCTCCTTCACCGAAAGACCCCTGAAAGTGTTTCAACAAAAAAATACAATGTCATCAACAGAGCGGTGAACCCAGATACTGCTATGACATATTCCTGTCCAGCGGACACTGACAGTACCCTGGGTATATATGTGACGTGACGGCCTTTGCCCATCTGCAAGACCCACCTTGCATCTGTCTCTTCGTGCCCTCCCCGCGCTGTCATCCCCACGGACGCATCACTGCGCTATCAATATCATGTCGGAACATTATTCCGTGAACAGGTGAAGTGTTAACCCCAAACGCCGCTGGGGAAGGTCCCGCGGTACCACCACATCCGCCCGTTATCTGTGAACAGAATCCACAGTCAGAGGGCGATACGTGGATATCCCCCTTGATTTGACGATGTGTCTGCACCCGGCCACTGTCCGCGCACAGCCGGGCGCACCAACCGCAGGCCGCCACGTCCCTCACGCCGGCGGCCGGTGACGCCATCCCGCAGCTTCTCTAGGACGGAATTGACCAGTCAATAACGTGATGTGCCCCGATGCCTTCCCGTCGGGTGCCCCGTACGTACGCATCCGCGTTGTATTGTTTGGCGCCACCTGGTCCGAAAGCCGACGCAGGCCCCCTGCGCGGGGCTGCCAAAGCGGCCCCGCACAACCTGTCCGCCAAGCCGCGCCATCTTCGGCCTGCCCGGTGCACCGCGAGGCTCGCCTGACGGCTGAAGATTCGCGAGTCAAGGCGAGCCCTGCGGCGCATGACGCTCTTGGAGGCATGCATCGAGGTGGGCATTGGGGAGGGTGCTGCGCCGCAGCCGGGACTCGGGCTTGATTTGCGTTTGGGACGGATCGGGTGACTGTCTACGGCGGTGCAGGTGGTGAGCCGATCATGGATCAGCCGCGAGTATCGGAGGCAGAACCACAGAAAAATGGAGGTGAGCGGCGCGGTCTTTGCGTTCAGGTTTGGTGGCGGCCGGTGGACGGCCGCTGTACCTGACGGGCCGACGCCCGCCCTCGCGCGAACTGGGCAAATGAGTGGCCCACGCCCCGCCTGTGGCATGGATTCTTTGTCTCTTTGGGGGACAGTTTCATGACGGACAGAGGTGGCGCGCATCGGGCGGATGGTGATGGTCCACGATGGGACGCTGACGCTTACACCCGCGAAGCGCCTGGTCACCGTGTGGGCATCTCTTGATGGCGGTGCTTGTACGTCGGCTGGGAGGATGGGCCGAGTTGCAGGGCGCGTGTTCACGTGTCGGGCTGGCTGTGCAAGTGTGAGGGGAGCAATTTGGTTTCGGTTTGTGATCTGGGCTGCGCCCTCTCCAGTTGGGATGCTCACCGAGGGCGGGATGCCAGCGCTGTTCTGTTGCTGTGGTGGAGCATTGACGCCTGCCTGTGTTGGACGCACAGATGCTGCCATTGGATGTTGGCAATGTGCTGCTGGAGGACGTGGTGAAGAGGCATGGCAAGCGCCTGTCTCCGGCCATGATCGCCGCTTTCAAAGAATGCGCGAGCCGCATAGCCCTGGATGGCTGGGGCGCGTCCCACGGAGGGGGGCAATGGCTGGCAGAGATAGCTCAGTACAGGTCTGGACATGGGTTGGAAAAGACTATTGTTCTCAGTCGTCCTGTCAAAGACTATGTTCAGGAATACGCTCAGGGGTTATGTTCGGGACTATGTTCAGAACTGTGTTCAGAGCCCAGGACTTTGTTCAGTTCTGAAATTCAGAGTGGGTACCTGTGTGAAGAGACTGCCCTTCCGGATATATGCTCACTGGATGGGCAAAACAGTGTCGCCTGACCATTGAAGCTTCTTGTGTTTACATGCATCTCGAGTGATGCACACTCCCTGTCAGGCTGTTGCAAGCTTGCCTCAGCACAGCCAAGCCCTTCTTGACCCACCAATTGTGTTAGGGGCAACTGAATGGGAATGTTACTACACTGGACCGTGCTTGTCTTTTACCAATTGAGTCAGGCGCAGAAGAGTAGAGGGCACATCCCCTTGTCAAATCGATGGAAAGAAACTGCGTGCACAGCATTAACTGTCTGAAAAAATTTGTAGCATTGTGCCTGAGGTTTTTTTGCACCCCACAACATATGATATAGCGAAGGAGATATCGACAATTCTTGGCCCTTGGACTCCTGGGTTAGGGGCAAGGCTAGATCGAATGTGCCATTTCCATTCCCTGCAGGTGAAAAATTTTCCTCAATGTGAATCTGATCACTCATATGAAGTTGCACTCCTATAACTTGCTCATAATTGTTGGGCTGCATTCAATGTCCAAAAGTCACCTTGATGTTGCTGCTGAGAATGGCAGCATGAATTATACTGCAGCAGCTGGCATCAATGCTGCTGTTCCCAGAATGTGCAAGTGGGCATGCTTCAATTGGACAATAGGAATCACGGCCAGTGACGCACAGTGCTGTATGCCTTTTTTTAAGGTCATTTTTACATACTGTGATACAACAGCTGTGCATCACAGCTGGGACAGATTTGCTGACTGGGCTGTTGTCGATGCAGGCACCTGACTTCACTTAAGATGAACAACTGCAGTTTGTCACACAAGGCAAAAAGCAACTACTTGTATCTGCTTGAAGGCCTTGCAGACAAGCTGATCACCCTTCATCTTCAACGATGCGGATGCTTCACACAGTCAGCTTTGCATCACATTTCACAATGCCACAAGCTGCAGGATCTCGATCTGTCAGGTCAGACGAATTTGATGACCCTTGCTGCAGGCATGCCGTGATTCTAGCTACCTGTTTCATGGCATGCGCCAAAACGAACAGGCTTTTCTCTTCCTGTTTTGGCGACCATACTACCTGCCAAGTGCATTGCATGGCTCCCACTCGCTACATGTTTGGTGATATCTCGATGTGGGTTGCTTTGGGTGAGTAAAGTTGGGCTGTGACGGCCGGGGTGCTGTCATCCCACCTGCCACAGCCTTGGGCGTTCAATCACAAATTGCCACTTGGCATCCTGCAGGGACATCCATGTGCCTTCCTGACAGCCACACTTTGAGTGAGGCCCTCACGTGCTTCACCAGCCTCACCTCTCTGGCCCTGGGGGACCTGAGGGCTGTTAACAATGCTTGCTGCGGCAGCATATCAACCCTCACCCATCTCAGAGTTTTGGCACTGGCTGGCTGCGACAGCATCACCGACACAGGTGTGTTCAAGCTGGCTGCCCTCACAGGGCTCACTTCCCTGGACATCTCTTGGACTAGTGCCACTAGGCCCCCCAAAATCCAGGGTCTGAGAGACCTGTCCATGAATCACTGCACCTTGGCTGGCACTGAAGATGACCAGGGAGGCACCTCCCATTGGCCCCTCATAGAGAGGCTGGACCTTCGGGGGGCAGACATCAACAACAGGCGCAATGGATGGGAACTTCTTCACAGTCTGGCAAATGTGTGGTGAGTATTTTACCACAAACGCGACTGCTGTGTTGCCCTCATTGTCTTTGCAGAATCTGCTGCAGCTAATGTGGCACCCATGATAATCTGTCCAACTGATCAGTTGCAAAGAATCGTTGCTGGCCTGTGTCTGCTTCCTTTATTGGAATCCACACTGGCATTGCTCGCGAGTTGACTAAGTGTTGCCAATCGCTTGGATGCTGAGGTGAGTGGCGATATGAGGCTGATTGGAGTTTGCCATGCAATTTTGGACCCACTTCGTCAACACTGGCTTGCGCTAGCCTTTACTAGTTTGCGCACTAGCTTGCACACTAGCTTGCACACTAGCTTGCACACTAGCCTGCACACTAGCTTGCACACTAGCTTGCACACTAGCTTGCACACTAGCTTGCACACTAGCTTGCACACTAGCTTGCACACTAGCTTGCACACTAGCTTGCACACTAGCTTGCACACTAGCTTGCACTGCTCATTGCATCCTGCCCCTCTTGTGTGACACACAATAGTAATGAACATTGCACCTGGACCTGCAAACCTATACCAGGACTTAGGACTAGGGCTCAGCTGGGCTGACTTAGGGAATGGTTAAATATGAAATTTGCATTGGGGGAAGGAGACCTATAGGTAATGGTCGTTAATAACTCAGGTGTTTTGATGGGAACAAATAGCGAGAATCATGACCCTCACTGTGCTGTTGATATGCAGGGGATCGGTGAAACCTCTTGTGCACCTGGACATGGGTAACACTGATATGCTGGACTTTGAGTTTCTTCAAGGCTGCAGCAACATCACAATGCTGAACTTGTCGGGCACCAAGATCACAGACGTTTCATTGATCTGTCTTGCCTGGCTGTCTGAACTAACCAACCTCCTTCTCAGTCACACACTTATCACATCGCAGGGGCTCAAGCACTTGGCGGCATTGCCCAACTTGAAGGTTGGTTGCCTTCAAAGGTCGTCGATGCTTGACAGCTAGGCAGCAGTACATTAATTGCACATCTGTGTGCCATGATGCTAATGCACTGTAACATTTCAGGATGTTGGCCTTGTTGTCAGTGCAAATGTACACATTGTAAATCCCAAGACCTTGTAGTGGCAAGGTCTGCTGAGCTCTCTTGCTTGCATTGTGTTATGCTGGGGCCATGCAGCCACATACTGTAAGTTGGTGACATGAGCGAACCAACTGTTGCCAGAGTAACTGCCTTGGGAGTCTAGTGTGTCCTGTGTGTCCTTTAATGTTAACCCAAGGAGCATACAGGGCTATCTAGCCCCTCCTGTTGCCTCAACAAACCTGCTCTCAGCACAACTCCGCTAATTGTCCTGCAGTTGCCTGGACTTTTTCTATGTCCTGTGGCTAAGTGCAAGATATCCCCAGGGCAATCAGTCCAGATCCATGCTTTGGTCTCTTTTTGTTCATGACTTTGTGAGACAAACGAAAGTTGTGTCTTATTTCGTTCGCAGTTTCTCACAAGGTCTCCATGATGTGGGCTCATTGAAGCAAGTGACCTCCAATGGTTGATTGGGACAGCAACTTAATCTCTCCCTTTCTAGGGAGGCAGTCCTATTTTATGACATGGTTCTCTTGAGTAACAGTTCCTCCTTCCCTTTCAAACACATTGCATGTCCTGATTCCTTGGCAGGTTCTTGCGCTGGCCTCCACAAGGATCGGCAATTCTTCCTTTGTCCATTTGGCTCGGATGCCATCCCTCACCGATGTGGACATGAGCGACAATGCCATTTGGTCCACCATCCACCCAACTGCCAGCAACCAGAGCGATGTGGAGCTGGCAGCGATGGTAGCACTGGATCGGCTGTTCGACAGGCAGCAGAGCTTCCACTCCGAAGTGGAGGGCGAGATCGACATAGCAGGGATGTTTGTGGAGAATTTGGACGCAGACTTTGAGGCCCAAGAGTTGAACAGGGTGCCCTCGAAGTCATACGAGGTGGCTTCGGGCAGCTGCACTGTGGCGGCGCCTCATCTTAAGCGCCTGAACCTGATGAACACGAGGTGGACAGACTGGGGAGTCGCACAGCTGGTCAGCTACAGTCCAGGGCTTGTGGCGCTGGCTGTGGGAAACGACGCCCTTGGAAATGGCGCCATAAGGGCCATACAGGGATTGGTGGAGCTGGAGACATTCGAAATGAAGGTGTGTCGGACGTGTCATGATTGGGAAGAGGTGCACATGTTTGCACACCAGAAAGTTAACGTGTTGGCAAGTTGTTCCAGGGTGGCATTGCTTACTCAACTTTTCCTATATTTATCGGTACTGCACTCACTGTTCTGAATTGTTTACGTTCTCTACAGTAATGTGCATCATGGAGTATAGAGCAATATGAGGTTTGCCAGTCGACCAGTAACTTTCGAGTGCCAGATTTTGCCTGTTCAAGAGGTCAAATGCATTCAAAAGAATTTCCAGATAAATTGCATACTCCGAGGTTTGCAAGCCCAGACATACTTGAGCATCCACCACAAAATGATGCTGAAGAGCTAAGTTCTAGCAGCAATCTATGCTGAAGGAATCACCCATAATTTCGGGGCACCAACTGCCCATATTTGAAGGATAGGCAGTGCAGTGCTTTTAAGTTGTGTCTCAATTGCAATCTCCAGTTTCACGCTCTGGATTTGGTCACGCCCATGTTAATTGAAATCGAACGAATCACTGGTTTGTGGTCATGGCAATTGCCATTCAGTGTGTGCACCACTAGCAGGGAGCTGGTGGGGCCTGGGGTTTTTGGTCTTTGCATGTAAGGCATGCCTCCACAATGGCAAAAGCTAAGAATGCATTCTTGAGGAAGAGTAGCAAAAAAGATATGCAGCAGCGGTCTTTCAAGAGCTTGGAGTACGGAGGAAACTGAATGTGGCCACAATACACAACCCTCGAGATGGTAGCAATCTGTGAGATGGGCATTCTAACACGTCATTTGTATATGTTTGTACTTATTCCTACTCTGCAAATATCGACCCAGAGCTTTATGCTCACCGCTGGGTTGCTGGGCAACAATGACAGGCCAATGGTGCTCGATGCGTTGAGTTGAACTTTGCAAGCATGGCTTTGCACACAGCTATTTTACCACACATATTTTACCACTAAACGACGCATTGGCTCCTCTCTTGGCCACAGCTCTGCCTTCTGCATGACTAGCTTGCAGAATTTGTTGGCGATGGTCAGCACGGGTTTTTGCACCATTGTATCGCATGCCCTGCCTCTAGCCTCAGGACGCATGAACATTGAAAGACATCGTAAGCAATGCTAGGCTGTTCGCATTTGTTTGATTTTGCACGCTCCGGCTGGCTGGCTCTTGCGACGGACGCACGTTTGCACAGGGAGGAATCATCACCATGGACGGCCTGGAGGGGCTCGAGTCTTGTGGCAAACTGAGGACAGTGAAGGTCACTTGCACCTGGAGAGAGTTGCTGAACGACGAGCAGCTGCTTCATTTGTACGACCGCGTGCCGGCGCTGGAAGACCTTTACATGAACGGGCTCTTGCTCAAAAGGCAGCGGAAAGCGAGCGAAAATTCAACTGGCGTGTGTCCCGAGCCATGCTTCGAGGTGGCATATGACGCCAATGTCTGCAGGCGATACTCCATGGACTTGCTCATGCGGTCAAAGCTCCGCTTGGCACGGAAGATGGCTGCTGGAGACTCCGAAGAAATGCGGATAGTTGCTGACTTGCGTGGTGCTTTGTTGCCAGACGTCAGAGCTGCTGCTGGCCAGTCTGGAAATGCGCAGCAGCATTGCTCCACTCAACGCTGTGGATGCTTGTGTTAGGTACGGAGTGGTATTGAGTGCTGTGCTCCACAAAGGCACGATACGGCGGGTGATGGACCCAGCAGGCGTCGTCACCTGCTGGGCAATTTTCCGGATAGCGAGAATACCGAATTCGGACATTCAATGTCGAACTTCAAGGGGACCTCGAACCAAGGAATACACAGGTTAGGAACTTTCAACTCGAACACGTCTAGAACTTTGGGAATGATCCTGTTGGTCGCAAATGAGTGGCAGTTGTTGCCCAAATCTCCGTTGCCAGTGCATTCACTGACGTCTGTCAATGACTCATGGGCAGTTGTCCACCAACACCCCCCTGTAGGTGTCGATTCTTTGCGCAGTGTATATTGCACACCCGACGTTTTGGACCAAATGTTATCAGGTGGGGCGAGAGTGTATGACATCACCACAACACGCAAGGGCGCCATTTCCAACAGAGCGCCAATGCAACCCAGCAATGCCACTGCGTGTATGCGCAGGACTTGGGACTGTCCCACGCGACACCCCTTCCTGTGAACGATATCACAAGTGTTACTTCTTTCTGACCGGGAGGGGTTAGGTACACCTGAAAACTGTCTGCACCGGCGTTATGCAACCCAACGAAACACTGCAAGAGGAGAGACAACGAAGCAATGGAAATTTGGCAACAGCATTCTGGGCATTCTCTCCCTGTCGCTGTGTTCGAGTTTGGGCCCGTCGCTTACGCCAGCAGCCCTCCCAACCGCTTCAAAGAAAGCAACAATTTCATTAGGATATTCTCATGCTTAATGTACACAACATTTGATTAATTACGAGAGCCCGCTTGCCGCTTCGTGCTCTCTATTGGATTGATCCAAGTGATGTTCGACATGCCATGAAAGCGGGCAAAGTGGCGCCGGATGAGGGGTCCGCCAGGCCGAGCCAACAACGAAGAAAGTGTTGCAGTGTTGGGCCACCCAATCGTTCAGCCCACCCCCCACCGAGTCTGGCACACACCCACTCTGACAATCGGTGTTCAAAGCGCCAGCACCGGGCACCACAGGCAGCGCATGGCACTAACCCTCGGCCAGTTGCCTCCAGCACAAAGGACATAATTGAGCGAGGCGTTGTCTGAGGCTTGGGGCGCGTCGTGCCCATTCCCCAGCGGTCCGCCTCACTCATCTGTTGTCTTTTTCCCGAACGAAAGCGTCTTGGCTAGCTTCCTTCCAAAGTTCGATATTGAATCTGGGGCACAGACACAGGGTCATCAAGGCGATGTGGAGCAACCCTGTCCTTCACACTGGGCAGAGACGGGCCGTGACTATGTTACAGTATTGACTTTCTATCAACTTATCTGCCCTGATTCCAGTGAGCAGGAAAGAAACATTGCTCATCAAAGGGGCAAAATGAACTTCCATGTGCTTTTGAAAGCGGAAAACACCTGGAGAGAAATGGGGATCACCACCACGTCGCGATTTGCATCCCTCGCAAGATCTAAGCCATCCACAACTGGTATTTATTGCAAGGACTTCATATATATGTGGCGCACTTCAATAACAATGTGCAGGAAGACAGCCCTTTAGCGATTGAACTTCACGCAAAAAATTGCACATTTCCACCAATCGACTGGTTCTGCTGCGAAAAATCCAGGGTGTGTGAGGTCCTCAACTTGGAAAAAATCTTGTCTCTCCAACGTGGCCAATGGCAGAATGTGATCGGATTCGCAAGGTCCAAATAGCCCCCCCCACCCCCCACCCATCCACCCCACAAAAGTGAGGAAACCCGGGAGTCATTTACGTTCAGCATGGAGTATCGTTCATGCAAGAGGGTCTCTAGCAGGGAGCAATGCAGCACTTTCTGACCCTGCGAGACCACATCGCGTTGTCGACTCCCTCACCGCACGCCCTTGCACCTCAGACAGGCTCACACTTGACACAAAGGGGGAAGAATCGAAGGGTGGAAGGGGGACGAAAAGGGGCAAACGGAAGAGAGCGTGCTTCACCCCCCAAGTGCGCTCCAACAGATTGGGTCAGCCGGGCGAATCTCCCTTCAGCTTTTCGAGCGCAGGGGCCTCCCCCTGCCCCACGCAGCCCCCCATCCGCCCGCGCGGCAACGCGCTCGCGCCACACCGCGCCCCCCTTCCGGGCAGCTTCCAATCCCGTTCCCCACCCCGGAGCACCCACCCGACACCGACGTCCTCCTGGCGGGCTGCCTGCCCTCTCCTCCCTCCGCCCCCTTCCCGAAACGCGACTGCTCCCGCGGGCCCTTGGGCATGCCCAGCCGCTTCTTGGCCAGCGCGATGCTGTCCACCCGCCCCTGCACGTCAAGGTCGCCCTGCCCCTCCGACTCCTCAGAGTCGCTCACGTCGCCGGCTCCCCTGTCGGACCTTATCTTGTCCAGGCGCTTCTTGTGCACCGCGATACTGTCCACGCGCTTGCCCACCTCCAGCTCGTCCTCGCTGGCCTTCTTGCCCACGAGCGCCATAGCAGAAAGTGCGAGAGCGCACAAAGCGCCCGCTTGGCCGCAACCGCTGGCGGCCCGTCCGTTATCGCTCTGACGTCCCAAGGCGGGTCTCGTCGACCCCCTGACGCGCGTCGGAAGTGTCGGCTCGAGAGGTTCCGGAAGTCGGGAGGCGGCCGCGGGGGTGGGCGGTTAGCGCTGGCGGCGGGCGGGGACGGCGTCAGGGGCTGGTCGCCGGCGTATTCGCGAACGACGACGCGAAACGCCCCGTGGGCGGGCGGGTGGGTGGCGGGTGATAAGTAAGTGGGGCGGGGGTAAAGCATAGGATCCGGAAATAACCTGGCTAACCCATTATTACTGACCAGACCGAAGCGGCTCCTGGCCCGGCGCAAAACACTTATCGCATTGATCCTCCTGTTAACGGTAGTTTTCAGCAGGGCGTTTCGTAGCTGGTGGATCCAGTCGTTTAGAAATATGCGCTCCTAGGAGCGCACCGACCAGGCCTGGTCTCTGATCTGGGTAAAACACGGAGACAAGGAGGAAGCGAAAAGCAAATCTGAGGCGGCAGTGGTCCTTTTCGAGGTCTCGAACTGTATTTGGCGAGGGGAGAGGGAAGATATCCTGCCAGGGCATTGCTGCAAGTTGCTGGTGTGTTGCGCGTCATGGCCAGCACATGCATCATGATAGTAGGTAGCATCTTCGACACAGCCCTGGGCTTAATCTGTGGAAGCGTTGGAATGCTGTGGGGACGAGCTAGGGATGCCTCATTTATGGTCGCCCAAGCTAGCTAACTGAAAAATCGGAATTCTCAACATAGTGAGCGCTCATTAGTTTGCGAATTCTTGTTGTGTACCTCAGTTGCTGAACGGAAAGCCACGGTAATGTCTACTTGCTGCACGGCGATGTACTTGCCTGTTTGCAATTTGACTTCACGCACGTTGATGACGAATCTGCCGATGGCTCTGAGTTATGCTGGTGAGGTTGTTCTTGATTCCTCCAACAGCTTGGGGACAGCTGTTGCACTGCAGCGTGATCCTCAGCACTGGGAAATTTTCCGCCCCAACTCCGTATGAAAATTAATTGATGTTCAACGTCAACTTTATGCTGCTGTGTGGCGTAGCATACTAGAACCGGTATCGCGGTATCAACTTTCAATGCCCCTTCTTGGCTGCGCAGCAGCGGATGCGGGCAAGCTGTCGGTGTTTCGACGGCGGACATATAATAGCCACCATTTTGCGCACAGGATAAGGTCTCGAACAGCAAAAATATCTTGGCTGTATTCCAACCTGCGGATGCATGAGCCATGCTGTCGCGCGGTCCTAGGAGCATTCATACTCGAGCCTGATATAGCAATAGCAAACATTGGAACGCTTGGGTGAACGCCAAATATCATCTGGATGATGGTCAGGTCTCCATGCAATATTGTGGCTGCATCGACATGGATACAGAGTACAGAAACGCTTCAGACAAATGCCCAGATGCCAGTATTGACGTCGATCAATGTCATAATCGCCATCATCGTCCCATCATGATGTGGGCGTGACAGCATTGCGTCAATGCTCATACACTGGCCTTGCTGCAACACTATCCGTCGTCTTTATCAACGCCGGGTACTGTACACACATTATTTTTACAAGTTATACCTGTTTTCTAGTGGTCCTGTCGCTGTTGGGGTGACAGTGCCTCCTGTCGGGCCCCTTGATCGGAGCCTGACGTGCAAAACGCGACCGCGAGAACCACGACCGCGTTGTGCCGTGCGACCGTAGTTCATAATATCGGACAAAATGTTCTAATCGGACAAAATATCCGACAAATTCGGACTGCATGGGCTACTTCACTCCACAATGAAGCCAAATAAGAAGCGAGTATCAAAGGAGGTGAGGTCCTCGTAGAGCTGACGCCACCCGTTGGCGAGTCCCACGGCTGACGATGATGATCTGAATATTGTGAATGCTGTTGCGTTTTGCAAAGCCAACTGGGTCGTACTCACTGTGTTTTCCCCCACGACTGTGCAACACATTCACTGCCAGTCGACTCAAACCACCATTTACAATCACTCGTGATCCTCCCGTACAATATTTTTCATTTGTTTTTCCATCAGCTACGACTCTTCATCCCAGAGTCAGCCGCAAATCTAGATATTCACTCCCTCAACCACCGCACACGCGACAAAAACTTCAATCAAATGCATGCATATCCCTTATAAGACATAAGGAGCACTGAAATGTGCAATGAGGACAGAAAGCAGTGGGTGGGAATGAAAATACCAACGCAATTTGCATTCTCATGCCCTGCCAAGCCGAAGGGACCGCAGTCTCAAAGCTGCTTTGGGTCGCCGTTCAGAACTAACGGGCCTGAGGATGTTGTCATGAATGGTCATGCGAATCTGCGAAACGGCTCAATCGATCAACCCATACAGCTCCTCAGGCGGACGCCAGCACACACGCGCACAGGTACCATTCCGCAGGTGGACACACGCAGGCGCCGGTAGAATGCTATTTCTGCTACATGACACGGTCGTAGAGCCCAGACCATTATTCCTCCCCCATCTCCCAAGTGGGGAGGATATCGATAATCTCTTACTG